GACATGTTTAATTCTCTCAGAACTTTAGTTTTCCTAACCTGATCCCTGCTTGCTTGGAGAACTTCTCTGTACTTCTCCCAGACTACCTGCTCCTGTTTCCACTCTTTGTAGGCTTTGTGTTTGTGTTTTATCTGGTCCAGGAGCTCCTTTTTCATGGTGCAGTCCTTCTGGAATTTTTGCCCAACTTCCTCTTTATTGTGATGCATCATTCCTGAACTTGGAGGAGGAGATCCTTGAATGTTAACCAACTTTCTTGGGCTCCTTGCAGGGTTTTATCTCATTATATACTACCAAGCAGATCCCTGAAGAGGCCAAAGTCTGCTCTGCTGAAGTCCAGAGTAGTGAGCTTGCCGTACGCCCTCCTTGGTGCTCTAAGGAACCTCGCTATGTCACGGTCATTGCAGCCCAGGCAGAGGGGTGTGTGTGTGTCAGAGTGCCTATTTCTGGGCTCTATCGAGCAGGGTAGTCTTTTGCTGTATATTGCTTTAGCTGGCAGCAAGCAAATGACATTTAAAGAACCCCGAAACAAACTGAATGCATACATAATATCACCTTTTCAGGTCTGAGCCACTGAGAGGAAGTAGTTGTCTGTGATATGAATGGAAAGGGAAACATCTGCAAAATAGTCAAACTCTCAGATTCGATGTTAGTCCCATTTCTGAAATGCATTTAACACTGTGCCTAAGATGACTGAGATGTGCAAGTGTTAGAACACATATTTGCTGCTCAGCTGTGTGGGAATGAATGAGAGGATGAATGATTGTTTTTATTTGCCAGTCTGATTTGTGCAGGAGATTTGTGGGATGGTACTCAGGCATGAATGGAATGGGAACTGTTGGCTTGTTTAGGAAGAGCAGAACAAAAGAAAGAAAGGTCATTGCTACCTCTAAATACTGTCAGAGGGGAAAAGAGTATTTCATTGAAAAGACAATGCTGGCAGAGAAATGCCCTGGTATGAATGAGCTATAAGTAAATATAGGCTGACTTTGAAAAAGTTCATAATCCTAGGCAAGGAGCTAACTTTTAGAGAGTGGTAGGCAAAAAAACCCCCTGAGCTTTCACTTGTTTTAAAGAAGAGCTGAGACAGTTTACAAATAGGATTGTATGATACTATTTATATGGCAGAATGAGGACTAAAATTCATCCACTCTGAGGTCTTTTTCAGTCCTAGGCATCTTGGTTCTATAAAGTATTCACATCAGACCTATGCATTGCACAGCCTCCCTGAGCACATACTACCCAGCGAGGGCTTTCTTTGGCCAAGCACATGTGGATAAATAGTTTGTTTTTCCTGTTTGACCTCTACAGGTCAAAGCTTCCACCAGGAATTAGGTGGTGCCTCTTAGCCAAAAGGAGCTGGCTGCATGGGGAGTTACGAGGCAATGGGCCAGGTTTGAAGTATCAGGATTATTTCTCTGTTAAGATTTTGAGATTGTGCTTCCAGAACTGAGATCAAGAGAACGTTAGGAGGATGCTGGGAGATGGCATACATGCACAGGGGCTGTAGGATTCACTGGGAGTCAGAATTACCAATAACTGTTACATCCAAGGACGAGCCCTCATGTTTATAAACATTGTGGCTAATTGCTGTGTATGGCAATTTCCTCTCCATTAGGAGTTAGTTTGGATCAGTCTTTGTAACCATCAGCTACCATCTGTAGCTTTGTCTTTCCTAATGTTTTTTACCTCCTGATACATGTTCCCACCCAAAATGAGCTGCTGTGAGCTGCTTACCAGTGAGAAGCAATTGGAGCAGGCGTAAGTGGTTGATGTTGGTGGCTCTTCATCCTCGGGGCAATTTATCCTAAGTTTTGCCTTCTCAGCTGTTCCATAACATTTACTCTGGGACAGGCAGAGGGTGCAGGGAGCTGGAGTGAAGTGTTGGACAAAGTAATTGAGTTTTAATCAAAACGCAAATCAGCAAGCAGGAAACACTAACTTATAAGCATTTTATGGAGAGGAAAGAGGTATTCTCAGAGAAAGAATTATTCTTATTGGCAGTTCTAACCTAGCAGTAGTTCTGGCTAATTCACAAGAGCTTAACTATAATCTGTAGCTGTTCCTCTAGGGAATATTATATATTACACATTTCTGTTGAAAGTGGTGATACATTGCTCCCTTTCTCTGTGGTATGCACCATTGATAGAAGACTTAATTCCACATGTTCATTAAAAAATATTCTAAAATAGCTTTTAATTAGTCCATTTTTAATTAAGGTAAGAAGATCTGTAATTTGAATGTCTATTTTTAAGTATGGTAAATGTACAGGAAAAAGCAGAACAAAAATACACTCTTGGGGAAAAGAAACAGCTCTCTTAACAACAGGAGGTACTTTCTGTGGTTAGACAACTCACCTGGTTGTATCAGCACTTGTAGTCCAAAAGGTCTGAGAATAAGTCATTCTCACCCTGTCTGATACTGCCTTTTCCTTTAGGGGGTTTGTTGACTTTTTTCATATGCTGAAGAGGGAAGTAATCTGCACTTGTCTTTTTTTTTTTTTTTTTTTTGCATAATTAGTCACTTAATTTGAACACCACAGAAAGAAACTTTGTTTAAAAAAGGGCTACTGCTTTGTATTTGAACTTAGTGATTTGAAATTAAATTTTGATTCAGGTGATTAGCTTCTTTTCTGGAGACTTTAAGTTTGTCATTTCTTCTAGCTTGGCAGTAAGTGTAGTTTGATCCTTTTGTAGTTGTTTCATATATACATAATAAAGAATTTTTAAAGCATAATTCTGAGGCAGATTATAGCTTTAGAAAGCAATTAAAAATTTTCAAAGAAAAGACATCTCTTATTTTAATTTCTTTTTTGGGGGGGGGGGGGGTGGGGAGGAGTTGAGAAGTGATTTTTTTTGGCTCTAAGGATGGCCTTTGTAGCATAAAAGTGAGCTGAGCAACCAATCAGCACAGGCTCTAAGCAAAAACCAGCCCAGGAAATGGAATGGATGTTACACAAGTACATGGCCAGCACAGCCAGCTCCTTCCTTGTGTTAGTCCTGTGGAAGAGCTGATGTTAGAATGAAGCATTCAATGGTGGGATGATGTGGGGAAGAAGGAGTCTGGAGACAAAATTTGAAGCGAGCTCTGCCTGTCGGGGCACTTGACTGCAAGCAGCAGCTTGTCAGCGAGCAGAGCAGTGCCAGGAGGAGCCTGTCTTGCTGGTTTTGAGTCCTGACATTGCACCAGCACAGACCACTGCAGGTACAAGGGTCAGATATGTGTCTGCATGCACACGTGCATGATGAAGTATTTAGTTGTTCATAAAAATGGACAAGGGGAGTCCCTGGTTATTACCCACTTCACTATCACAAGCTCAAGGACTTGAAGTTCAAATCTAAACTAAAAATAATTAAAATTGAAGAGCATATAGAAATGCTCTGGGACCTCCAACACAAAAAAGTTATGGGTCTCTTGGAACAAGCCCACAGCAGGGCCACAAAGGTGCTGAGTGAGCTGGAGCACCTCTTCTATGGAGGCAGGCTGAGAGAGTTGGGGCTGTTCATCCTGGAGAAGAGAAGGCTCTGGAGGCACCTGGGAACAGCATTCCAGTGCCCAAAAGGGGCCTGCAAGAGAACATGGAGAGGGACTTGTTACAGGGGCATGGAATGATAAGACAAGGGTAATGGCTTTGAGGTGAAGGCAGGTAGGTTTAGATTAGATTAGATATTGGGAAGAAATTCTTTACTGTGAGAGTGGGGTGGCCTTGGAGCAGGTTGCCCAGAGAAACTGTGGATGCTCCATCCCTGGAAGTGTTCAAGGCCAGGTTGGACAGGGCTTTTCTATTGGGAGGTGTCCCTGACTGTGGCAGGGGGGTTGGAACTAGATGATCTTTAAGGCCCCTTCGACTCCAAATCATTCTGTGATTCCATGAAATACAACCCCCCTCTCCCATGTTACATCAGTTTGCAGCTACCTCATACTGATCTCCTTGTTGTATTATTTGCTGCTACTATTACTACTGTTTACTGATTATCATTACTCTGTTGCAGATCAAAAACCCTCAGGTAGTGTGAGCACTCATTTATTCCCTTCCCTCAGAAGTAAGGGAACCAAGCCAAGGGAATGGAGACCTCTTTCCAGCTGGGCAGGGAGCTGGGATTAAAAGCCTCAGGGGCCAGGCTTTCTCCCAGAGGCACAGCACCATTACTGACCTGGCCAGTACCACCACACCTGCCTTCTCAGCACTCATTTATTGCACAAAAAGCTTCATTGCACTACATGTGCATCTGTAAATATATATATTAAAAAATTATTATTTGAAATTTTAATACAAATCAACATCATTGTAATTAATATAATTACCAATATACACAATATAATAATAATTAATAGAAATCCTATACATAGTTATATATAATATAATTATATGTACATAATTAATATATACTATAAAACAGATACTATGTGTTATAGAAATTATATAAAATATAGATAATATAAAATTATAATAATATATTATAATACCTTAATTATATTATATTATATTATATTATATTATATTACATTATATTATATTATATTATATATTAAATATTATTTTATTATAGTATTATAATATTATATTATAACAATATGAAATATATATTTATAAATAATATAATAAAATTGCTATTGTTTTAAATTTTAATGTAGATTTATGGATCAATATAATCAAAATATAATACAAAAATAGATATTATATGGTATTTAAATAATTTAATAGAATTAAGGATTTCCATAAATGAGCATATTTTAATACTAAAAAATATAAAATCTGCCATTATTTTAGACTTTAATATGGATGTATAGAGCAATTTAATTAATGAGTAGCATTAGAAATAGGTGTCAGGCGCTGCACAGGCAGCACTTTAGCAGAGTGCTGTATTTCCTGGCAGGAGGGTCCGGCTGTGCGTGCGGGGGTGCTGGGAGGCGGAGGGCGGGCGGGGGCGGGGGCCGCGGGCGGGGCGGGGCGGAGGCGGCAGCGGCCGCCCGGGGCTCGTCCCGCTCTCTCCGCCGCTGCCATGGCTCCGTTCCGCTCCGGCCCGGCGTGGTGGCGCCTCCTGTCCCTGGCCGTGCTCGGCCCCGCGCTCTGCGGCCGCCCGGCGCGGGCCGAGCCGGAGCCGGGGCCGGGCCCGGCGGCGGAGGGGGACCCGCACGGGCGGCACCTCTACAGCGCGGAGATGCTGCGGCACGGCGCCGCCGCCGCCCCCCACTTCGTCATGTTCTTCGCCCCGTGGTGGGTACCGAGCGCGGCGCGGCCCGCGCCCTCCGCCCGCCTCCTCCCCGTTGACGTGGCGGGGGAGGCGGCGGGCAGGGCCGGGCCGGGCAGGGGCGGCGGGGAGGCCGCGGGGTCGCGCTGCCCCGGGACTGGGGGGGGACTGGCGGGGAAGGGCAGCCCCGGGGCCGGGAGGGGCTGGGCCGGGGAGCGGGACCCCCCGTGTGCTGGCCCCGGCCGCGGCGGCCGCCCCCGCCACGGAGCCACGGGCTCGGCTGGCTTGGAAAAGACCTCTGAGATCATCAGGTCCAATCCGTCGGCGCCCGAAGCCGCCCCCGGCCGGGCTGCGGGGGAGCCGCTCCGGCGCGCCTCAAAGGGACCGAGGGCAGTCGCAGCTTGGCCACCGTGACTTACTCACCCTGGGCCCCCCAGCCCCAGCTCGCAGATGCTTTCGTTGCAGAATCCATGTTCTCTTTGCATACGCAAAATTTAAGGGTAAATTTGCTGTGGTAACCATCGTGCTGTGTCCCCGAGGCCACAGGTATCCGTAGGAGAGCTGGAGAGTTATTGGGTTTGTGAGAGACCCACTGGGTTTTTGTCCTGGACTGGTACTTTTGGCTCGAAAATGGTTGAGATTAACGAGGGAGCAGTACTTTACTGGATATTCCTAGTCAACAGCACTGTACTTCTCATGCCTGGGTCTTTCTCATGGCTGTTCATATTCTTCTCTATTCTTTGCCTCTTCCCCTACCATTTTTTATCTTACTGATATCCAGTAGATGTTATTGAGAGTTCTATTGTTAGGGTTGTTAGGTTTCTTTTTTATTTTTTTATTTTTCCTCCCAAGTTTTCTTTAATCTAGATAAAATAAAGTTAAGGGAACAATGTGCAAAAGTTGTGTTTTGATCCAAAGTTATCCCTTGCTACGCAGTGCCATTTAGGCGTATGAGAGTCTTTGAAATCCATAGCAGGAAAGCATTTCCTTTGAAAACTTTTTTTGTTATTAACGTTGACTTATTTATGCCATGTGAAAATGTTAAGTAAAAGCTTGAAAGAGCAGATGCCTTTGTTCTCTGGAGATCACAACAGTGGGTGACGCCTGACTTGCTGGCGAAGGACTTTTGCCTGAGAGTGCAGTAAGGCCTGAGAAATGCCCGTGCAGAGCAGGAATGATGATATCTGTGTCTATGATATCTGTGTCTATCCACACCTTGAGTGACTCTTTCACAGGCATCCCTGAAACCAGATGAGCTTTCTCTTATCCCAAGACACTGTTTGTAGGAGGCCCTCTGCCAAAAGGGCTGTTGCAGAATCCAGTGTATGCTGCACATCCTCAGCACAGATCAAAGGGAGCGCTGGCCTTGCCCACTTGGATCACGCTGTGCCCTTGGGAGGGCTGAGGATCTCTGCTCAACTTAAGTGTGAGGGAACTGTGTTCTTTACCAGATTTGTTGCAGCTTCTCTGGATTTTCTCTGCATCCTTAGCAAATCTCCTCCAGATCCTGGTCCTGGCCTCAGGGCCCTTGGTCTGGATGTCTGGCTCCTGACAGGCATCAGTAGGGCTGGGTTTCAGGTCCAAGGGAAGAGCAGAGCAAAGGGAACATCCAAGTACCTGAGAGAGTTGCTTATACCACTACACCAGTAGTTTAATTGTCAGTGGGATCAGGGTGGGCAGCCTGACAGTCCTGGAGTCTGTGTTAGAGCCTCTTGCCCTGTTCTGAAGTGATGTGCTAATCTCCCAATGCTTCCCACAGGCTGTTGTCTGTAGTTCCTAGGCAAACAGCCCAACATTCAGCTGGGATTGTCTTTCAGATCTATGTGGGCGCTGCTAATGTTGCATCCTCAATGCTACCAGTAAGAGCTGGGTTAGAGCCAGCACCACCCTTCTCTTCCAGATTCTTGAAACAAATGTAGCAGAGGGCCTCACTCAGAAACAGTAGTGGCACTGGTGGGGTTCTACATCATTCCAAGTTCCTTGCCATCAGATGTCATAAGATTTTTGTTCAGAAGGCTGTCTGACTTGGTAGGTACAAAACAGGTTACTCTCTTGGTGACACAAAGTATTCTTAAGTTGTTTGCCATGCCAGTTCCATTTCTACAGAGGAGGGAGGTTCCCCTGGTTCCTTAGCAGGAAATCATCTCAACTGAGTAGTTTTACTTCATTATTTCGATTCTTACAGGTCTTTTCAACATATGTTCTTACTTGGTAAATCTGGCAAGCCCACTGAGCTGCAGCAGAATTGATCACCAGAGTTTGTTGTTGTCGAATAGAGCTCTGTTGGCTGGATTTCACTTCAGCTGGATTATTCTGTGCAGAGCAAGAATGGTTCTGGGCTGCTTATACCATGTCTGTGTTTTTAACTGGATAAGGATTTGAGCTATACCTTACTGTGGAGCTGCCCTTGCTGGCTGCAGAGCTCAAGTTCTACTAGTGGCCCCCAGAAATGTCTGTGTTAGTCTCTTTTAGATCTTCATTTGTGCCTGCCAGTGGAGGTTGTGGATGCTTACAACTTTCTAGATCATCTAGGGATAAAAGAGCAGAACTCATCATTGACACCCAGGTGTCCACTGTCCCCAGCAGCTCCTCCAGCCCCACTGATGTGTTGTAGAGTAGCAGCAGTGAAGGACTCTGTAGTTGCATGGGGTTGAGGCAAGCCTGTGATATTGCATGGTCTTGTTCTTTGATTTTGCCCTCCTTGGTTTTATATATATTTCCTTGGAAACATAAGAAAAAGTGTTTTCAGGACCATCATGTATTTCCTTCTATATAGTACTGGGTTTTTTTCTGAACTGGGAATGACTAACTAATTGAATACTGATTCAGATAGGAACATTAGTCCTGCTTTATTCTCAGTTTTAGCTTCCATAATCCAAAGAAGGAAGGAAAGTGGTGTGTAGAGCAGAGATCACAGTGTTAAGTAGGGACAAGGCAGCTCTGTTGTGCTTAAAAAACAGGAGGTTAATTACTTGGGATTCCCTTACCTGGTTTTCCATGCTCTGTTCTCTAACACCAGCCAGTATTCATTTGGTGTTTTGAATCACTGCATCTGCTAGGGGAACGGATCAGAGTGTCCAAAATTCTCCTCTTAATTCAAGCTCTGTGAAGGAGTTGACTATGGAGGGACTTCAGTCAGAAGTTAAATATTTAAGGAATATTTGATTTTAATAACAACACATTGTATCCCTTCACCAGGACAATTCAGTATAAGATCACATATGAGATTGTATTCAGCCACATCATGGGAGCATATGTTACCCACGGTACCTGACTGTTACAGGACCTTATTAAGATCAGGAAAAATTCTTTATCTTAAAGTAAATGGGGGTTGGTTGGTTGGTTGGTTGGTTTTATCTCAGGGCTTTTTTGTTGGTTGGTTGGTTTTATCTCTCAATGATCTCAGGATAGAAAGGTGTGAATCCATGCAACTTTCCTACAAGTGTACTCAAAATCGTTTGTATGAGTGAAATTATTTTAAGTCTAAGCAAAGTTCTCCAAAGTCCTGCTGGTGATTTAATTGTTACTTACAAAGTAGATGTTGTAGGTCATGCCAAGCAATAACTGCTGTCATACTGTCAGTCTGAGAATGCTTTCTGTTACTCCAACTTTGTATTTCTTAGATGTCTTGGAGGGTTGGCAAAAGCAGACATTAAAGAGAAATGAAAATCCATTCCTTAAAACTTTCCATCATACTTTGAGGAATAGAGTATTGCTATAATGATTTGAAAGACCAGAAAAACAGTGAGAAGAAAAATAGCTATTTTTTGCTTCTGGTGAGGTGCTGTTTCAGGAACTGTATGAGGCCAATTTTCTGTGTGTATGCAGATATAAAGAGTTGATGCTGGGGCAGGAATGGGAGCATAGAATGGGAGGATTTTCACAGAATATTCTGAGCTGGAAGTGACCCACGAAGGTCGTCAAAATTTTGGGAAACTGAATCACAAAATTGGATATGATGTTTCTTGACTTGTGTGTTACAATTCCTCTGAAGCATGGAAGTGCAAGTGGCATTACAAAGAGGCTAGAAACTATTATTTTCTTATCTACTGCTAAAAAAAGGGAATTTTGAAATATTAAAATGTAAAGAAAGCTGGGCAACCTTGCAGGATTTTTCTAGAATGCTGGAAGACTGACAGGGCTTTGATTAATAGCCTTACTAAGTTTGGGGGGGTATTCATAGGATTTGTACTGTAAAAAGAGAGTAGCAAGAGATTCTCAAATCTTGATGATTTTTACATTAGATGTGTTTGCAGCATGCTGCAGTTCCTAATAGCATTTGCTGTTGCTTAGTGTAACAGTGCTTGAGTATGGAAGATTTCTGATGTAACTGATTTTACTTTTGATTTAAAGATTTGTTTAAATTTATCGAAACCACCATTCTGCATATGACTTTTCCATGGGCTCATTTCCCTCTAAGTGGGAGCAGATATTAAACAGTATCATGTCTTTTCTGTCACAGGTGTGGACATTGTCAGCGCCTCCAGCCAACTTGGAATGACTTGGGAGATAAATACAACAACATGGAAAACCCACAGGTCTATGTTGTTAAAGTGGATTGTACTGTAGATCTTCCACTGTGCTCTGAATTTGGCGTGCGAGGATACCCTACGTAAGTATAGAAAGAAGTCTGCTCCTATTTTTCTTTTTTTAGTTTTCCATGATCCTCTGCCAATTTCTTGAAGCTGACTTCTAAGCTGTATTTTTGCTGGGTTTCTTTGTAGCCCTTTGGACGTGCTATATTCATTTGAAGCCTTTTTGCAACGTTGCCAAGTATCATGTGATACATAGTACTCTTAGGCTTTTTCTTTCTTTCTTTTTTTTTTTTTTTTCCTTTTTCTTTCAAGAAGCTGTTTTATGTCTTGGAAGGTGGCTGTGTTTAACTGAAGTCCAGAATTTTCCTGTTCTTTTGTGTGGGAATACCTCTTTCTGAAGCAACAGTACATTGTGCAGCTGTGATATGCATGACAGAGCTGGTTTCTACCAACAGTACTTTTGAAAGTAACTTGCCACAAGTTTTTCTGCCACAAGATTTTTAGTTCACTAAAAATCTAAGAGACCACCTACAATGCAATTACAAATGCACCCTTTGCAATTGCATTATAGGTGGTCTCTTAGATTTTTAGTGAACTAAGTGCTCATAAAGCAATAACTGAATAGTATCACTTAGCATAGCAGTGGTGATACTGTGTGGATTTTTTTCTAGCTAAATTTGCTTATATTGGTCTAGCATTTTAAGATTGCTGTGTTTATGCTGTTATCAAGGATGTATGTCTTACTACCTCAGCTTTGGTGTGCAGAGCATGGTCTAGAGTATCTATGAGAGGTCAGAGCCTTTGGGTTAGATGTGTGTTCCCTTTTAGACTGACAGAAAAGGAGCAAAAGGATTTATTTTTCACTTGTGTCTTTTTAAGCTTCTTGCAAGTATGGATGGGATCCTTTCTACTGCTTTATTAATTATTTATCTTAGTGGGGATAAGTGGAGATTGTATCCATGATTATCTGTAGCCCTTCCACAGCCTGTATTTGTCAGTTTCCTTCCCTTTGCTCACTTTGTCTGGTGTTTTTGCCAACCCCAGCAACAGCCTGAACTTTTCATTTGCTCCTGGCTGCACCCACTTGGACGCAGATGAGTGTGACTGGGTAGAAGTTGAGAGTTATAAATAGCACAGTCCTTGTTGAGATAGGAATTGTCCTTAAGGGCAGTGTATGTCTTGCTTCCACTGCAAATACCAAGAAAGAATGAGTATTGCAGTTCTGTTTTCATATCTGCAGAAGTGAGCATTGCTTGTCATTGCCTGTTTGCATAGATTATATTATGGTGCTGTTCCTCTTGAAACAGAATGGCAAAGATTTTTGAATAGACAAAAATCAATGGATGTGTAATTGCTGGAGGGTTTTTTCCCCTCCCTCCTCTTTAAGGTCACTGAATACATAGGAATAGTTAGTGCTTGCTTTTATCTATTTGAAAAGTTAAAAATAATAAGGCAATCATCTGCTACATATAGAAATACAGCAATGAAGGGGAATTCATGGTAACAGTTCTCTTTCTATTTGAGTCAGGTTTGAACTAGCTTGTTTCTAAAAACCTCCAGCAAGGGAAGTTTCACAGTTTCCTCAGGCAGAGGTATTGCTGCAAGTCCAGGTTATGCTGATCCCTACACTGCTTTCCTAAACACCTGTCAAAGGAAAGGCTGCATCCCCTTTCCATCCCCTCAGAGAAAAAGTGTCTGAGCTGGTCCCTGCACTTTCTATCACAGTTGTCTCAGGACAACTTGGTGGTGCAAAATAAATATTCTCTCAACTGAGCTAGAGAAATTGCACCCTTGTTTGCAGCAAATAAAGGTGCAGCTAGCTTTTTTTAAGATGTTACCTGAATTTGTTTTGTTACTTTTCAAAAAATATTGCCAGGATGTATGTTTTAGATATTTTTCTTTTTAATTTTTTCCCTTCCTTATTATTCTGATTTTCTGTCATCACAAGGAACATTCAAGAATATCTTGAGAAGAAAATAACAGTGGGAGCTCCTATCTCTTTTGAATGTATTTGCATTATGTGGTTTTTAAACACTTTTCATGTGTTCATTTCTTCCAACTGTGGAACAAGAGAGAGAAAAGCATCCCAAGAAATTAAAGAAGCAGTACAAAATGACAGCTTGTCAAGGGGAAGTGAGGGCTAGGTGACAGTAGTAATTGAAAGTCTGATTTGCTTTAAAAACTAAGACTAGGTCAGAATGCAGTATCACACCTTTATTAAACAGACTTTCAATTTCAACTTAAAATTTGCAGTAGAAGCTTTACGTAGTCTAGGAAAATGTTTTGATGGTGATTAATGAATGTTGCAATCATGAAGTCTGGATGCCTGCAAGTAGTCACTTATCCTCTTGTCCTATTGACTTGCCTCAGTGTGTTTTTAATCAGTTTAATACCACATGACAAGCCCTACACTGCAACAGCAGTCAGGGAACAAAAGGTGAGAAAGAAATTCCTGGGAAAATAAGTGCTAGATATTTTTCCTTTGGTGATGGAGAGAGGTGGACAAAACAAAATTGATGCTCTTTGATAAACTGAAATAGGATTAATAGAACTAAATGCTGCAATTTTAAAATTGTTTTTTCTTATTGATCAAATTAATATTACACTATGCTGATTTTTAACTAAGTATGTCTTATTTTCTCTTTTAAAAATTTCCTTAAAGCTTACATGGGAAAGAAAAGGGGTCCTAAGTTCTAGCCATGACACTTTAATCTGAAAAGGGTGCCTGATGTTAATAGTCAGGAGACCTGGTACTGCAGCCTGAGATGCATTGCCATGGATTAGCAAAGCACATTATCTTTCTGAGCATGTTTCCTGTGTGAAAATTGTTGCCTCACTCTTCTCTACATTTTGACCCTTTAGGCTAAAGTTGCTTAAACCGGGACAAGAACCTCTGAAATACCAAGGCCCTAGGGACTTCCAGGCACTGGAAAACTGGATGTTGGAGAAATTAAATGAGGAACCATCTGTAAGTGAAAAGGAAATAATCTTTTCTGTAGGCTTACTTATCTATCATTTCTCTAAGTTAGGTTTCAATTTCCAGGAGGAAATCTGCTCCTGAGAAAGTCAGGTTGCTGTATCAATCTGAAACAGCTTACATGTAAGTCAGAGTAGTAATTAAAACTGTCATCCTGTGACCTGCTCTCTGTTTCCTGCTTTTAAAATTACAGTAAATAATGCAGTTTTAATGCCTATACATTTGACCTTTTAAGATACAGTCCTTGCTGTCAATTCATTTGACACCTGTACACCATAATGTTTCTAGAGTGAGAAAAGCAATTTAGCTCTAATACATTATAAATTGCATTTCTGTTGGTCTTAATTACCTCTTAAAACATGGATGCCATCTTCAGCTGAGTTACCTTCTGATAATATTGTGCCTAAGAAAAGATTTAAAATGATCAGTTAAGTAAGATAGGCTTATACCATCACTAGGAAAATCCTTAAGTTTAGGGGTATCATTCACATACAGGAGCCAAGCCTTGCCTAAAATTAAATTTTTGATTGCTGTTTCTCATCAAGATAAAGCTTTAGTGATTGCTGAACCACAGTTAGAGTGTGATTACATTTAAACAAATATGGTATTTTTAATAATTGAACATTAAATGCTAAATTATTTTGAGAAATACACGTTGAGGCCCCTAAAAATTCTTTTCAGCTCTAGGATTAGAGTCTAGAAAGTATTCACTTGCTTTTGCTGAAATGCTCATGAGTTTCTTGCAAGTTAAATGTATTAAGTGTTTGCTCCATTTCCACTGTTGCTGTTTTCATGGAGCCATTAGGTAGACAGCATTCCTTCTGGTACTAGGGGAGCAGAAAATAGCTTTTGCACTATTTTTTAAATAGCCCAGAGACCACTGCAATGGGTGTGATGGCAGTTGTGGCTGATGTGTGATGCTCTGGAGGCACTGTTATATAATTTAAGTGTGTTAATATATGGTGATGCAACGAATGCTACAGCAATCACTGTGCCCTGTGACTGTACTAGAGCACAGTGAAAGACTGGTATTCCACAGACTCTGGTATCTCTCTTTTATGTGGCAGTCCTTTTCACCTTTTGCTTTCATGTAGTTGTTTTTAGGAAACATTAGGAACCTAAATCAAGCTAAATAAGGACATTGCTTTAGGAATTTAAAATTTCAGGGTCTATGGCACTATCAAGGAATGGTGTGATACAAGAAAAAAATTATTGTGTATTTACTGTAGAAGAGAAATAAAAGTTAATTTTTCTCGTGAATAGGACCCTGAATCTGATGTGGAACCACCAAAAGCCCCTGAACCTAAGCAAGGAATGTATGAACTCTCAGCAGACAATTTCAAGATGCACATAGCAGAAGGTAACTAATTTTTCCAAACAAGAGAAATTTGGTTACAGAGACATTAGTAGTGGGAAGTCTACACCAGAAATGTTTATTTTGAGGACACCTCCTTCTCACTTTTATTTTCCAGTAATACCTAGTGAAAGAGGTAACTACATAGCAAACTATGCTAAAATGCACTGGTTAAATTACATGTTGCAGACTATAAGAAAGTTGAAGTAGAGCACTCAGAAGGCAGTAAAACTATGGTTGCTAATGCCAAGGAAGAAGCTAGTGGGGCTTGCTCAACTAAACTGTCTCTTTTCCTGAGCTCCTTGCTCAGTCACAGCCTTGTCACTTTGTGTTTTTGCAAGTCCCATTTCCTCCTTCCCTAGGTGCTGGTTTGTTCTTCCTCCCAGGTTGTTATTCTGGATAAGTGTAATCCACCCGCTTCCTCCTTCCAGCCCCCATCCCACTCCAGTCTGGCCCTTTATTTGATATTGTTTCATTTCCTTCCTCCAGAATTAATGTGGGCAAAACACTTTGTCTGTTTGGCTATTTTAAAAATATTTTGTCTGGAAGCTTTAAAATTAATGCCAGGAGGGATACCTAATAAGGGAAATTGTACCACTCACATGATGTTTTTTTAGACAATGAGCAAAATCTTAGAATACAAACTTTGGGCTGGCATGACAACAGAGGATCCTACTTTCTCCATCTGTTATCTGAAAAAGAAAGGCTGGGTAAAATTAAATGTTTGCCCATTTGAAATCACTAGGGAGGTCAAACTAGAACTTCTTAAAGTAACCATTAGCTCATTAGAAATATTTCCATGTATAAAACAGCATTTTATGCAGCTAACTTAAAATTTCCCAGCATGTCTGATTTAATGTAGAATTCAATCAAAATTCTCAATTAATTTTCCTCTAAGCCATCAGGGATATGCTAAGCATTTGTCAGCTTAATAACCTTCTCATACTGTGAAGTTCAGTGCTCTGTAAATGTTTTAAGTGTTTTTATTATGCATCCATTGGCCTTCATAGAGGAGACATTCTCATGGTCATATCTGATGGTTAAACAGGTTTACAATCATCTGTAAATGTGTTGTCCTCTCTTGACTTCAGTTATGAGAAATTCAGCGCTTAAATTTAATGTGACCCTTAGCAGTTACACCAGCAAAGTTGACCTCTGTTCTTACATAGCTTCCTTTCACCTTTTTGCTGCTCTGGGACAAAAATTAATTATATTGTTTTCTATTGAGGAGAGTATGTCAGAGTACATGGTAAAGAATAGCTGATTTTGACTAGTGTTCTTCTATTTTGCAGTTTACTTAACCAGTACAGAGCATGTCAATCAGTTTGAAAGTCTTCCACATGCAGACCAGTCAAGTTAGAGTACACTATTACTGCAGTTTGTTTCCTGGTTATTTTGTATTGCCTTTCCTCTGACCTTCCTTTGTGGACAAGCCTTCAAACTAGAAATTATTTCATGTACTATCATCCCCAAAGCAGTCTTCAAAGGATTGTGAACAATTCTGTTAAAAAGAGCTTTTCTCCAGTTGCTGGTGTTTCCTGTAAATTAATTTTTTCCCCCTTATTTTAATTAAGTTCATTTTTATTTCATTTAACAGAGCCTTGCCTTAATGTATGCAAAAATGTGCAGCAATTTGAATTAATTAATCTGAATTGAAAGAAATTGCATATTCTGGTACTCTTCAAACAATAATATATACTTTTTAACTAAACCTTAGTAGGAGATAGCACAGGGACTCTCCTCTGCGTAAAATGCCATGAACATCTTCTAAAGGCAGAAATTTATGAGTAGTTGACATGAAAATTCAAAGAGCAGGGCAGAAAAAGAAAAATGGAAAACTGAACAACATTTTTCAGGTAATTAATGGACTTAATAATTTCTTAGGAAACAATATTGCATGAAGTTGAAATTTAATACTTCACTTTATGCTGTTATCAACATATATTCCTTGGTAGTTCTTTCTACTCTGTAAGAGAGTAACTGGTAGAATTAAACACTAAGGTAAATGGTTAGATTAAAAGTATCAGTGTTAATACCTCACTTGTTGGCTTGAGATTGTGAAGCTGTTTGAATTTTCAGGAAATTTGGCAACGCTATGGGACTGCATACAGTATTGAAAACCTAATTGCTGAAGTATTTTGTCCTGGCCTTTGATTCACAGCGTTTCCTATCTTTAACTCAGGAAATACCATGATAAATTTGCAGCCTGAGATTAGTACCTTGGCTTTAATTGCAGCCAAGTTCATTCCAAATTAGCTAAATTTTTTTTTCTTTTCTTTTTTTTTCTTAAAAGGTAATCACTTCATCAAGTTCTTTGCCCCTTGGTGTGGTCACTGCAAGGCTTTGGCCCCAACCTGGGAGCAGCTGGCTCAAGTCTTTGAGCATTCGGAAACTGTCAAAATTGGTAAGGTAGGTGAAACACTCTTAGTTTGAAAATATGGTTTGTGTCAACATATGTTTCAGCCAAGAATCATGCCTTTTGTGCTATGATTTGCAAATCACAATTGTCTTGTTTGTCACCTCTTAAATCCTTTTATAGTTACAGTTTGTATTTTTGTTTTGAGACGGTCATGGGTTTTTTTCTCACACATCCACAGTTAACAGGACCTCCCCCATTTTAAGCAAAGCCTTGTTGCAAACAGAGCTGCCTCTCTGCATTTCAGAGAGCTGGGAATAAGTCTGATACTTCAGATGCAGGGAATAATATTTTGAGATTTGTTTTTTATTATTCATTTGCTTTACAGAGCTTGATAGACTTCAGTATTTATTTTGAGTGGGAAAGTGACTTCTAATTTGCTCTTTGCAGCATTGGATTCCTTAGCAAGCTTTAGCCCTACTGGGTATTTATGATGAATTATTTCTTTGTTGGTTTTGGGGGTTTTTTCCTCTTTTTCCCCATAACACTTTAAAAAGGTTTCAGGGGGGTCTTACACCTTAAAAATTGATATCTTGTCCTGCTTTACTATTTCCCTCAGGGTTGATAACCAGGTTCTGTGGTGTATTTACCATGGGAGCTTGTTACTTGTACGTGGAGTGACTACTGTGCAGAGGTATGGAGGTGGTCTGGCAATTGCAGTTACTGGCTTTATTTGCTGACCCATACCTAAGTCCAGGTGGCTCATGATGGGAATCCCTCTGTATCTGCCAACCATGGAAACTGGACTGGGCTCAACTTCCACATCCCTAAACTTTCACAGTGGTTCCACTGGCCTGAAATACTGCATGGCAGTGATGTCAGTGCTGCAGAGGGACTCTCCCTCTGCTGTCTCCCCTGCCTCTGCCCTCACAGCACTTTTAGCTGCAGTAGGAGGGATGAGCTTGACTGGTTTTTTTAAAATGCTTTTGAAAATCTGTTAATTCAGGTATGCTGTACATGTACAGCACAGGCCAGCAGAGTTGAACTTTAGAGGAGACATACATATATATAAGCACAGCTGAACTTCAGAGAAGACACAAATATATATGTTCAGACCTGGTGGTTATAAAGTTAGATTCCCTCTGAGAATGAAATATCAGAAGCTTTTTCTCCTTTGAATCTTTCTGCACTTTTTTATACCTTTGTTTGCTGTCTGATGAAATAGTTGCTTAAGTATCTTTATGAAGTTACCATTTTCTCGTACCCAGAGAAAAACAAACAATAAATTTCCAAAATTTCAGTTTTAATCAGTTGTCTGTGGTGTTTGCAGTGTGTATTACTGAGAATTGCTGTTTAATACTTCCACTAAGATTCATCTGGATGCCTAGACAATTTTATGTAACTGTATAGCTTGTGAAATATATCTTGAAGCATGTCTTGGCTAAGATTTTAAGTCTGTAAGTAAACAGGAAGCACAACTGTTTCTAAGAAGGTTGAACCATGACCTTCATCTAATCTGGGGGAATAGTGTCTTAACACTGTTTAATCTTTAGAATTGATCTTCAGTGAAAAGTTTATAAAGAAGTAACTTTACAGACTGTATTAGAATTGAATGTTGCTACGCACTTGGAGCATCCCTTGAAATACAGTTCACTTGCTAACTGTTGACATGCCTTCTGAAGTCTTTAAAGAGTAGTTTTTTAAAAAATGGGTGAGCCAGTATGTCTTCACTTTAAAGCTCTCTCACATTAGTGTTTTGTGTCTCATTGTCCATGAACTGATTTTATTAGCTGAGAATACCAAGTACTTTTTAATAGAAATATTTAATTATGTCTTCATTGTTCTTTGTAACTGCTACTACTTCCTTCTATCCATACCTTCCTCCCTGATCCCTCCTTAAAAAAAATAAATAAATCAAATACACAGAGAGCCTCCCAATTATACAACCAAACCACTGTTTGGAAGGCAGACATAATCATTCTCAAGACAGTACTTGGTACTGAGTTTTGCCAAGCCTTGTATTGCTTGTTCCTGTATTTTTCTGAGCTTTTAAACAAGGGAGGCTGTGATGCTTGTTGTATGTTTATTTTAGGCACTGAATAGTTTTGGATTTTATTCCCAAAATGTAGGTGGACTGTACTCAGCATTATGAAGTCTGCTCTGAAGCCCAAGTTCGTGGTTATCCCACACTCCTCTGGTTTAGGAATGGTGAAAAGGTGAGTCTGCAAGCTCAGCAAAAAGTCACACCATTTTTTCTCTGAATAATATTTGGACTATGCTTACATTCTGGAAAAAAAATCTGCTTGTGAGAGAAGGGATGTTGGATGTTAATTTGGGTGCTAGAAGAGGTAGAGTTTTGTCCACAGATAAAGATTTTTGTTCTCTGTTTTGCAAACAACTGATACAATGTTCATAAATCTGTAAGCAGGATCTCCAGTTATGCTACTGTGTGAAAGAATTCTGGGTTTACTTTGTCATGGTATTTTACTTCATATGGAACACAAAAATATACCTGAAATAGAAATAATAAAAAGTATGTAATTTTCACATAATGTATCAGAAGGGTCTCATCTCTAAGTGATTCCCATCTGCGGTGTCTAGAGATGCAAATTTTTTTTTTATATAAACCCAAACATTTCACAGGGCATTGTGAATGAGAATCTTGCGGGTCCAGCTAACATTTTTCCTTGCAGCAATTCAGAGAACTAAAATATTCTGAAATTATGGGGAGATAAAATATTTATAAATACCACATACCTGAACAGCAGTAAATAAACATATTATAAATTGCAGTGTTATTTATACTATATTTCACAATTTCAAGATTAGTTAAATATATTCAATGGATATTCAAAACAGGCCTGCAAGAGAGCCCAGGACTCCACTTATAGCTCTTACCTGCTAAGTTCTTGGCAGGGGGAAGGACAAGGGGGTTTTCTCCCATTCACCCTGCATTCCTTTTTGAACATTTACAGTATCAGCAACGTTAAGTTTTGTTACTTGAAACGGTTTAGTGGCCACTGCTTGTGGCAATTTTCTGGCACTCTGAAGAGAAACTGGCTGCAAGCACATACCATATGAGGTTGGGTATAAGCACCCCTATAAGATCAGACACTAGGGAATTTAAATGAAGCAGCCTCTGTGTTTTTGAATCCAAACCAGATTCACATTCAAGCAGCACTGATGGAAGCTGAGGGAGGGCTCAAATCAAGCATGGTGGCATGTCCAAGGCTAGAGGATTTTTAGTTAATTAAACTTTAGTTTAAATATTGTAATAATTGGAGCTGCTTGGAGTTTTTTCAATCAAGAAGAAAAGAAAAAAAAATCACTACTGTTGTATTGGTAAAGCTGAACCTCAGTCATTAATCTGAACAATGTATTTCAGTTGACATCAAACTGTTTTTCCCCGCTAGTAGTGTGGCATTCCTTGGTGGAATACAGCCACCAAAATCACATGCTCCTCTGTGGGCTGATACAACATATCTGAAAAAACACAGAACAATAATCTGGCCCAGAAATTCCTGAAACTCTCTCTGGCAGCTATGATACTGGTCAGTAAGGGGAAGGAGGAGAACTGATTCAGTCACCCAGCCTTGTCTGTAATACCTTCATCCCCTTTGCCATAACTGAAGTCTGGCATCACACCACTGCTGTTGGTACAAACAAACAGGTACAGGCTTCTTGCTCCTTAGGGATTCACTGACACCCAGTGCCAGGAAAGGAGCAGTAGTTAGAGGAAACATTATCAATTACAAAAGAAGGAAAATGTGTAGAAGGAGTTCCAATGATAAAGGAAAGCTGAAGAGATGTCTGTTCTTCCTTCTAATGTATGGAAGATTGGATGTTGTTTCTTAAAGAGTCTTCCTCATCTACAAGAGGAAATGTATCTTGCAGCCCACACCACATAGGACCACATCTCAAGAATTCTATCCAAAATGGATATATAATGCCTCAAAGATATGATCTCTCTTCTGAACAGGAAAATTAGTACTAATTTTCACAGACAGCCCTGAGGGCAATCATGCAAGAGCCAAATTGGAGAGGGCGGACAGTGGATTTGCGACTACAAGCTGCTCACAAGTGCTCTGATTTCTTGTTCTGACAATCTTCTGATTGTCTTGTTCTCTGGATTTGGAAAGTACCTGAAATATGGGGAAGCATCCAAGGTAAACTGTGGCCTCTCAAAGATCTGGCTGGCTGACTGCTTCATGTGCTGGTTAAAAAATAGGATTAGACTTTTGGAAGAGTGGTGCCATTGGAAATATCTGCCCTGCAGCAGGCTGCTGTTGTCTCTTGCACCCAGGTCGCAACTTAGGTGCCCAGAGTGCAATGCCTTACTATTTGGGTTTTCCAAGGACTTGTGGCAAGTGTGTAGGCCAGAGGAATGACTGTGTAGTCCAGAGACAGGAAAGTTTCAGCCCTGTCAAAGCACTGTGTAGAGCTCACAGGGTAACAGAGACCACACCCAAACCACAGTGGGTATTTTATTGTTCCTTGTACTAGGGTTAGATGCAAAAAAATAACTCTTAAAAAGCTGACTAAGGTGAGACCAGAAGATCAAAGTGGAAATGTTTCAAAAATTTGCTTCTATGTTTCAAAAATACCTTTCATTTCAAGGGAATGTTAGATTGTTCCCTTTGGATGCTGAAGAATCTGTGGCAAAAGCTGAAGACATGGAGTGAATGGAATGTCATAGAGAAGTTTTAGAACTAGATACTTATTATTTATTTGCTTACACTTGGCAATCTTATGTCTTACTAGTAATTATTTATTTGCTTTGTCAACTGCATATAGAAGGTTGCACAAACTATTTGCTAATTGTAGGGTGACCAATACAAAGGGAAGAGGGACTTTGATTCCTTGAAAGAATACGTGGATTCCCAACTGCAGAGCTCTGGGAAAGAGCCACCAGCAGATAAACCTGTTGAAGCCCCCCCACAGCCACCTGCAGAGCCCACCCCTGTTGAGGTAAGTGCTCCAATGCAAGGTGTGGAGACTGTTTTAGCTGCCTGTCTGAGCCTTCCATGTGTTTCTCTCTCTCTAATAGCTTGACAGTTTCTGGAGGTAAACTGTACCAAATAATTCCCTGGTTTTTTTTTTTGAGTAACTAATGACTGGAATCAGATCACAAATCCTAGAGATGCTTTTACTACCCTGATGAATTGGAGAAGGAAAAAAAATCTGATTCCTATTTTATGGTTGCAATAAGTTACTTAGAGACAGGCATGAATGTGGTCTCTTTGGCCTATGGAACTGCTGGCACCTGGGTCTTTATGACAGCGTAGCTCACCACCACAGAGATGAACATTCCTTGCAACATTACCACTTGAATCCAGGGGGATGGGGCACACTGCTAAGCCCCTAAAATAAGCCAGGGTTCTGTACTTAGAAATCTATCTGCAGAAGCAATGAACAAAGATTAGGAAGACCAGTACCAATATGGTAAGGTAACGTGCCCTGTGACAGGAAAACTCCTTGGCGTTTGGAGACTTATTTTTATCTTGTTTGTTGGAACTACAGAAATTGTTGTTGTTCAGAATTTGGCAGAAATAACCTTTGTACAATTGTAGTTCATGTCATATAATTTTCTGCCTTTTCTAATCCCGTTGGCATTTCATCTGCCATTTTTCTTGGAGATAAATGAAAAATTGGTGAGGCTGAGAAATTAGGGATGGATTTCAAACATAATTTTTCATGAAATGTGTAGAACGTACTTTCTGCCTATAAAATAAGGGACAGGGATTTACATTCCCTTGTGCTATAGAATGAACTTAAATAATTAGGCAAAAATATGATTAATATAAATACAGTTTCTATGCAGCTTCTTACAGGAAAATATTACCTTTCCCAGCTGACTTTTCCAGCAGCATTACCCATCTTGCATAAGGTGGCTTACCAAACATTACAGACCACCTAGATTTGCAATTGTCACGCTCTTCAATTTTTATTTTCTTAAGTGACCTCATATTTGGAAGATCCCAATGAGCTGGTGTTAGAACAATGCCAAAAGTAATTAGTTGTCTTTCTATTTTTATAGAAATAACACAAACCACATGTGACACAAATTCCCACTTCAGCCTTGCATTCACCAGCACACACACAAGGAAGAAAGGATTGTTGAGGGATTTTTTGCCAAATAATAGCAGACATAGTGCTGGACTCAGCTTGTCCTTACAACTTTTATCTTCAGACCCCCTGACTCTTTGTTTTCATGAATTTTGAAACAAGGGGCCAGCCCCTGTAGCCAGCAAACACTGACTGCATTTGCCACCAGTTGACCACAGGCAGCAGAGGCAATGAGTTCCCACTCCAAATTTGTGTCCCAGTGTTGAGCCCCTGCTTGGATTCCCCCATGTCTTATATAGCCCAAGTACTTGCCAGCTGTACTTTTACATCCATGAGATTTCTCTAATGCCAGACATGGCTAAAATAGTACAAAAAATGATCCTGGTGGATTAAGGCAGTGTGACCAGCAGATGCTCAGATTATGTGATTGCATTAGATGTCTTTTTTTTGAGATGCAAAGCTAAAATTGAGATATCTGATGTTAAAATTATTTTTGTGGTTATATAGTTCACATTGCTATTCTGATAGTAATCTACAGAGCTTTAAAATTCGTTTTACTGTGCAAATCATGGGGAAGTTGTTACTAATCAGGTTTTCAAATTTTGTATTTTAGATTGTATATTGTGTTAGGAACATCAGTTATAGATAGCCATTTAGGAAAATCAGAGTAGAAGCACAGTGCTTACTTTTTGCTTCATTTAATTATTTCTGATTATTTAATAATTAGAAAGTATAAAAGTAGAATTTCTAATTTCTTAACAATTATTTAGAGGTAATAACATTTCAGCACAGTGAAAGAATTCCATGAACTAACAGTTATTTACAAAAATGTTTAAAGGTACTGGATAATTTGGATTTTCAAATTTTATTTTGGCTTCACAAAACTTACTGGGGTTAAAATAGAATTGATAATTCACTGTCAGCTGTGATCTTGTTTTCCTCTTGCTTTCATTTGATTTTGAAGCTTTTATAGGCATGAGGTACAAAAATGAAGTTTCAGCTCCACGCTTTCATGTGAGAATGTAAGCAATGTGCTTTCCTCCCATCATTCCCTTGCTCCTGATATTATCAGGAGTAGAAACATTTCCTGGCACCCATGCAAGTGTGGTGTTGTGATGTCCTCTTGACAGGCAAATCTGTGTTTCTGGTAACAGATTTTTCTGTGAATGCAATGCAGGGGAAGAAAGAACAGAGAGAGCAGCTCTTGAGACATCTCTTGTGTGCCTTGAATACCTCATTAAACCTCAGATGTCCATTACTTGCTCGAAGCCAACTCCTCTAAGGGCTGTTCCTTGAAACATAGTGTATTAAAATTAAGGTGATTTTTTACAATTACTGAAAATTTGGATACAGACAAATCCTTTGAAAATAGGAAAGCTTTGTTTCTCCAGTTATGGATGAGATTCAGTGTAAAACACTTTTTTCTCTACATCTCTCTAGGGAAGGAAAGTTGCTGAGAAGTAAAAGGCAGGTCTGCTGCTGCTACTCTTGTTTATATTACCAACAATATTATCTTTTCCAATTCCAGTTTCCCTTTTAGGAATGTAAAAGCTCAGTAGACTGATGTTGTATATACAAAATGTTTTGACATATTTTTCTCTTTTTTTCAGGGGCAGGCTTCAGTGCTCGCTCTCTCTGAAAAAGACTTTGATGCAACCATTGCTAGGGGGATCACCTTTATTAAATTCTACGCTCCATGGTAAGCAGTTTGCAGCTGTTGCTGTTCAGGATTATTGCTGGCTAAGATGTGAGTGCAATAGTTACTGTAGTACTGGATTTGTTGTCTGGATCTAAACTGTGAATTAGCTGAAGAATGTGTGTGTTGGCAAGAGTCACAGCAAAAAAAAACTCAGTCTTGTTTAGCTCCCTTGAGCTGCCTCTCTGTGGAAAGGCTGACACAGAAGCTTTACCATGTCAGCCTCCAGGCCCTGCTGGGGTAACAGGGAGAGTGAAGCTTTCTTTGCAGGTGCAGCATGTTCCCATCCCTTGGTTAGGGTTAGATGAGGGGAGTATATCACCGTATCTCAGTGCTGAGAAAGGAGAGGATGCTGGCCTTAGGGCACTCTCCAGACATATTGGGAGCCTCATTGGAGCACCTGAGTTTTGATACAGATTGTTGAGCTATGGATAATTAACTGCCTGTTACTCTTCAAATAACTGTCCAAAAACTAACTTGCAGAAGTGACAATTTTAAGATGTTCTTAAGAGTGTATGTTCATGCAGTATGTTCTTAGAGGGACCCAGGGCAGATGGTGTAGGTGGAGATACCCAACGGAATGCCTTGGAGAGGGAAATGAAAGTCACATCTGGCATCTGCCATTCCTGCTATATCCAGCAGAGCCTGGCACTCCAGATGGGTTAAGACCTCAGTATTACAAACTTGTAGAAGTATTTCCCCCTTATTCTTAGTATCCCCTTTCTGAAATAAAAAGAGAGTTTCACATTTCTCTTTCTGGTTTATAGAATTCATCTTATTTGTGCCTCTACAAAATTTAATGAAACTTGCATGCCATCTTGCTCATCCACTGCTGGTCTTTTAGCCAACAGAAGGAAGCCTAGTGTAGTGGGAGAGATTAAAATTAAGCTATATTTCACAGTGTGAAAGATAACACATCTCTGATTTAATCACTAGCATTCCATTAACACAGTGTAGAAAATATAAAAAGATGTTTTGTTTATGTTACAAAAGGCCCCATTACAAAGCAATACAAGCAAATACCACCCATATTTAGGTGTGCTCAGGCATCTCAAAATATTGCCATCTAATTTCAACAGTAGGCATGAATATGTTTCTTGTGTAGGCAAGAATTACCTGGGAGCATTTAATTTCACTTAAGGTCATTGCTGCAGGCTTTTCCAGTGTTGTCACCCTTTGCTGCTTGAAAACCACTGCTATGCTCTCTTCCACCTGTAAGATCTGCTTTTGGATATGAGCAAATATCTGCCACCACTGGGTTAAGAAATGTCCTGCCCATAGCATGCAACCCCCTCATCTTTGACTGCTCTTTCCTCACTGCCTTTATCCCTTCTGTACTCTGGGAGGGATTTAGATTGTGCCCGTGCTGCTTCTGCCCCACCTGCAGAACTAGCTGAGAAATTCACTTCACACCTGTGCTCAAGAGCAGCTTCCAGTCTGAGTTCTGAACCCAGGGCTTGCTGGTAGATCTACTAGTCCATTACCTGGAGCAACTTTTTCTGGAAGAGTTTGAGATCAAGAAATTCTCCCCTTTTGATTATCTCTTATTGACAATACAATGTCCTCAACTCACGAGATATCATGGGATGCTGCTGGATCTCACAGACAGGATCAGTTCTGGATGGCAGGGTGAGAAACAGTGGTTTCAGGATGTAGAGTCACCAGTGTGTGCTGCCTGGCTGCAATGCTCAGAAAGCCACCATTTAGGAAAATGCTTCCTATATTTATGTAACTCATATCCTAGTTTTGGCTCTGAAAGTCAGGCTTGTGACTGCCTGTAGTGCTCTGCATATAAATGACCATATTCTCTTCCAAGTGGATTAACTTATGTAGGGCTCAGCAAACACTATTATGTTGCTTTCTAGTTCTGCCCTTCAGTTAGTTTTGGATAAATATTAATGTTAATTTGCATCGTAAGCACAAAATCATTCTGTTCTAGTAGTTTTTGTGCGTGGTCAGAAATGCTTTTATACTGTCACTGTGCATTAACAAGGTAGTTAAAATATACACTGGCTTGCTTTAAGAAAACTTCTGCTGAGACATCTTTCATTATTTTTGTAAATGCCCTGATCTAGCCTCGAGGCAATTATGGGTCTGTTTTAATAACCCAATTAAGGTGCAGCTGGGTTAGAATAGTATGAGCAATGCAGATTTAAAGGCTAAAGTGCTTTGGGAATTCTTCTTAAAGGCAGTAAGAAGTTCACATTAGGAACTTGGCTAAGCCAAGTTCAAAATGTAAACAAAATGAATGCTAATGGTCGAGGAGGCCATTAGGAACTGGAAGAAATTTAATAGGAAAATTAAAATCTCATTTAACTAATTAAAACTTGGGCTATGTAGCTTTAGTATGACTGGCATATGCTACCTGAAAAATTAATTCTACAGACATTCTGTGTCTTCCTAAAAGCATTTTTGTTTCCAAGAGATCTTTTTTTTTCCATTTAAACATTCTCTGTGCTTGTCTTTATTTGGCTTCATATTCCTCTGTGGGGTAAAATGTTAATGAACCAAGATCTAGAATACCATTCTAGGCAAGACTAACAAAGTCCAGAAAGTACTTCAGTGCTTAACTTAAATAAAATCACTTCTTTTCTTAGCTCATTTACTGACATAATAGTGCAAGGGAGTTAGAGGTGAAATAATTAGGGGATAGGAAAGGCTGCTAGTTAAACTTACAGCAATTGCAGCAAGACAGTAGAGATAAAGTAGAAAGTTTATCTGTTAAACAAATCTCCCTCCTTTGTTTCTAGGTGTGGTCACTGTAAGAACTTGGCTCCAATCTGGGAGAACCTTGCCAAAGAGAAATTTCCAGGTTTGACTGATGTCAAAATAGCAGAAGTGGACTGCACTGTGGAACGCAACATCTGCAACAGATTTTCTGTAAGTGTGAAAGTTCTGAAATGAAGGGGACAGTATTGTGTACCAGATGTTGGAGGCTCCAGTGTGCAGCCCAGTTGGCTGCTGCACTCCAGGTGCTGGTGACAGTACAGCTGTGGTCTCTGTTAGTCAATAGGAGGCACCTGGTGACATCATTTTGTTCCTGAACTGTTTGTTCAGGTTTGGTCATTTCCATTATTGGACAAAGCTGGAGAAGTTCCTACTTTAGGAAACCTCTCTGAAAACACTAAAGCTGTCTTGTGGTATCCAATGCTGACTTCTGTTCCTAGGGAAAAAAAGTCTTTCAGAGCTGTTAGGCAGACAATTGAAGATAGAAGGCTGTCATTCCAAGAGCCTAGAGGAACATTTCCCATTCTCTTAAAAACATTCAGAAATTGCAGGCTGGCATTGAAAGTTCTGCTGGGGTTTGTTTTTTTTAAATTAAAATGGCTTACTGTTTTGAGGAGTTTGATGGCTTTTCAGAATCAGGTAAATATGAGTGACAGATACAAGTTTGAACATTAATAGCAAATTTCTTTTTTTGTCTGTGTCTTTTGAAGGTCAATGGTTATCCTACACTTCTGCTTTTCCGAGGTGGAAAGAAAATCGGTGAACACAACGGAACGAGAGACCTCAAATCACTGCATAACTTTGTCCTGCGTCAGGCAAGGGATGAACTGTAATAAAAGTCTGGATGCTCTGTACCCTGGCTGTCTCTGTACAGTAGCTGAGGGATTTCTATCTTTGCTGATTTTTAAATAGTGTATTTGGGGGGGGTGGGGCTTTTTTTGTTTATTTCTTTCTAGGAAATTGAATGTACTAAACTTTGGTATCTTCCCCTTGTGTGTGTGTTAGAGACATGTGTGTGTGAAGGAAAACTAACAAGTAGTTACTGTGCAAATCAAGAGTATTTTCAGCATTGGTAGTTGCACTGCATTTCTGCATTCCTGCAATGAAGTGTAAATGGTTTCCTTTGAGACCAAAATACGTTAAGAAAACCAACTGAAGGGCAGCAGTAGAATATTTTTGTCATCAGGTTAGATCTGGTTAAAAAGTAATCCTTACAAACTGCTTACTATTACTAGAAAGGCAAAAGCTACAGCTGTATTTAGTCACTTTTGCCTCTAAAATTGTATACTTAATCCTTATTTGTCTTAATAGAGCTGCTGAAAGGTTGAAAACACACACACCTTTGGAAGATACCAGGCCACCACGAGCTGGTTGTTTCCTGTTAATCCTCTCAGCATGGGAGGTCTAGCCATAATGAAAGTGATGGTACTGTAACATGTGCCTGAACATTACTGATGCCATAGTGTACGTGTGTCAGGTGCATTTCCATAGGCTGCTGCCATCCAGCTCCAGAGGCACAACTATGCTCTACTTCTCTAGAGCCAGAGTGAAAAATAGGTGCTGTTATAACTCCCCGTTAATGGGAAATGATCAGTCAGACTCCAGAGCTAAGGACGTGTTTCCTACCCCCGCCTGAATCCAGATATTGTGCTGACCTGCTCCTTAGTCAGAGTACCTAGAGAACAACAAGTAATACAATGTTTAATTGTTTTTTTCCATTCAGCTCTTCTGCAGTAGTTTAAAATAGTTCCCCCCCTCCTCTTGAGCCTTAACGTTTTTCCAAGCTGTAAGCATTGATAAGTTTGAGTGCTAGGACCACACACTTTGTGGTGTCTTGGATTATAATATGAATCTATTCTTTGGTGCATAAGATGTTCCATGTTAGACTTAACCAAAAGCCAAAGAATTTACATAGCAGAGACTGTCATGATACAAAGGCAACAGCAAACCAAGGACTGAATTCTGCTGTCTCATGTGCACGGAAACTCATGAGGAATGAGGATTGCTACAGGCTAATTTGACTAATCTGTCAAGATGCTGGGTTTTGTCCATCATATGGAGTAAGTTGGGTTGCTTTTCTTTTTTATTAAAAAAAAAAGGCAAAACATCAATGAACTTTTAAACCAGTGAATTTCTCCTGGTTCTTCACTTCACTGTCTGTCCAGAACTTCTGATTCTGTTCAGTCTGAAAATGTGTGAAGGTGAAAAAGCCACAGTGAAAGCTAAGTGTTGTACTGGCAGATGTATTGGATCAACGTGTGTACTTCTGCCTTTCAGGAAGCCTTTATTATGTTTTTAACAACTTTCTAGTGAAGCACAATCTCATGAGTTTCTTGTATAAAATCAAAGTGGTACAATTGTTTACACTGAGATTTTTCTAAATAAAAACTTTTTAAAAAAGCAGTCTTTCTATAAATGATACAGCACAATGAATATACAATGACAAGTGCAATAAATTATAGCTTGTATTTACAAGAAGCCTTTTAAATGCAAGTAGAGGTAAGTGCATTTAATACAAGTTTAATATTGATCAAAACAATTTGCTATTAGATTCTGCTAGACAAACCATGGCTCTACGCTGCATTTCCTTTATACCAGTTTGTTAGTTGCATGAGTTGAAAGGGAAAGATTGCAAATTTTGTTGACATTCTGTCTTCCTGTAAACAAACTGTCCAGCTAGAGGATGAATGGCCCCTAAGCTTTTACGTCTGAATTACAGCTGAAGAAGTGTCCTGACTTCCTTCCTGGGCAAGTGGTGGTAGATGAGGCAGCTCCACGTGGGGAGTGGAAGGAAGCTGCATAAGAGCAAGTGTATAAATTTGTATTGCTCAGTCAGATGGTGAACTGGGAAGACCAGCCAGGGTCTGAGTTCATGGTAGTGTTTCTAACACAGGGTGCAGCCATGCCATCTTACACGTGCAAGATCTGAGTTAAACGGTGCTGGGAGCATAAGAGAACTGAAACATCTGCTTTGGCACAATTTTAGATGCTTACTGTCATGACAGATGTCAGGAGAAGACTAACAGTCTAGGTGCAGTAACTGGTCCTTCTGGCCAAAAGGATCTTGCACGAGATGTACACTTTACGTCTGAAGTACTAACACCACTTTCTTTAGCTTCTCTGCCTCTCCCCCTCATCTTCCCTCCCTGCCCCCAAAGAAAGACCTCACTTGTTTTTGGTGTTGAGTGCTCATCTGGTAAAACTGCAGCATATATCCAAGCACCTGCTACAGGTCAAGCTTCTCTGTGAGATTAAGACCATCCCATCCCAGCCAAATAAAGTGTGTGGGCATTTTGCTGCTGCTGCTGCTGAGCTGGGCAGCCACCGTGGTGTAGGGTCAGTCTGTAAGAAGTCCAGCAGTTTACTCCCACCCTGGGGGTGGTCCCCACACCCCTTCCTCCCACAAGGCACATACATGGTGTTCTGAAGGATGGTTCATCACGTGGGTTTTTTTCCCCCCAAGGTCACGAAAACAGGGAAAGGTGTATCCAAGTTCATGACAGCATCACAGAGTCCGTGTGAAGACTTTGTCAGTGACATCCACAAGCTCTTACTACCATATTCCTGTATTTCTTCAAGATTACATTAGAATTATCATCGAAGTAAAGGACAGATATGGCATTTAGTTTGGTAGGTGCACAGCATGGTTTGGGAACATAATCAGGATTCATTAGATGAACCTGTTGCCAAGAAAGAAAACACAACTGAGACACTGGTATATTGCTCACAAATTCACCTGGTGCTTTGGCATTGAGCTGCCTGGAGACTTACCAGAGTTTGTACAATGGCATGATTGGTTGCATTCATATGGGCGTTGAGTGGGAACGAGCACTCCCCATCACAGTAGTTGGCTGCGTAGCCTTTTGGAGCGATTATCCAGTCCTTTTTAGGAAAACAAACACAACGTGGTTCAACAGACAACTGCACACAATTAAAAGCAGCTGAAAATTTTCCACTAACTTCTTCCTTGAGGGTGAAAATGTGTTTTCACTGAAACTGCTCGAGTTTTAGTTGGGTTTTTTTTTTATTTCTTTTTGTGTATCACTTTTTGTGTGTCACTTTTCCATGGACACACTGATTTTAATGTCCAAAGAATGATGCACATCTGTGTACAGCTCAACTACCACTAACTAAGAGGGCTTTACCCCTAAAACTCTCGTTGGGTTGAATTGTGGGGATTGTGGTTTGGAGGCCTTTATTTCCAGTATTTCCTGCAGGCCCTCTGGCTGAAATACCTTTCCTAGGTTGAGTCACAGGCACAGCTGGTGTCCCTCAGAATGAGCCTAGCTTATACACTCTTATAGAGGGATACTACTCTGCTAAAGACACTGTGGGAAATCTTGGCTGCCTAACAGCTTCTCCACATCTGCCAGACTCCTAAAGGAGGGGCAGGACAGCCAGCCTGAGCTGAGGTGGCCCCAGTGGCAATCTGAGTGCCATGCTAGGCAAAAAGGGACTCTTCACCAATGGAAGCTTGTCTGCTGCTGACACAAAAGAGCCAAAGGGAAATTAAAAGCAGCACCACGGAACAGGAGACACTTGGCCTCCTTTGGTGTTGGGTCACTGCAGATCCCCCTGCAGAAGGACATGTGAGTATGTTTCATGTGCATGTATCTCTTAGGCAGCTTCCACTCTACCTGACAACCCCCTGAGTTTGCCTGAATTTTGCTTCAGCAGGGCTGAGCAGCCACACACTGTTGCTGTAGCTTCGCTAACCAAGTTTGTTCTGAAGGAAATAGCAGTGCCCAACTGCAGGGGGCTCTACCTTGCCTTGATCATTTTCCTACAAAAAGTAGGACCTGGATTCCAGCTCTTAGAATGAGCCCTGCTGGTCTGTGGCCTTCCTTTGGCAGCATCTTACCTTTCTGCAACCAGAATGGTGAAGGTAGTACCTTCAAGATCATGAACTTCCCAACTGGAATCCACTTCCTGCCCAAAAGCAGGGCAAGTAAGATTAAGGAAGAGGTGGAATGTCTCTGCTCAAGTGAAAAATCACCCATAAGTAATGGGGAATGGAGTCAGCCTACAATCACAGTTGCAGCTACTGGGCTGGAGTTGACACATGAGCTACAAAAAGTGCCGCTATCCCATTAGCTGAGAGGGGACTTGCTTGTGTTGTGTATTACAGAGGCAGCAGGGACAGCCCTGGCATCCTGAATTATAACCTGGTAAAAACATTACCTGATAGAAATGGGACCTCCCTCACAAGTGCTGAATGAAGGAATTTAAAATAAATAAAATAAAAAGAGAAGGTGAGGACATTCTTTGAAATATGATGTTTGTTTGCACTATAGCCTGGTCTAAATAACTTACTTTATAATGACTTTCTGGCCTCATGGTGTTGCAACTAAACTCAGTCTTCAGTCTACCTACCGCAGGCAGTGCTAATTGTGGGGCAGGGATTGTGGAGGATTTCAAACAATGGCCAAGGTTAAAATCAGGGTGATCACTAGAAAAAAATTGAGTTAAAATCACTGCTTAACATCAGATTGTTTTCCTTATCATTAGAGGTACACAGATATAAGCCCTTGCCCGTACCGTGACTCCCAAGAGTGACAGAGAATGACTGTATACTTGAATCCCATAAAGTATCAAGCTTTCTCTGGGTCTTATCAAATGTCACAACTATCAATATTTATTTGCCCTTCTCTGTGACTGGTTTTAGTGAAGAGGCACAAGGGACATTTTAAAGCATAATGGCAGACTCGAGTGGAATTACCATGACACTGTTTAGATAACATTTCATAACAAAATGTCTGGTTTACCCAGAGAGAAACATCACACACCTGCCATCCCAAGTCTTGGAAGCTAACGTAAAGCTCATGCTTTCTGCACGCTGTTTTTAAGTCACTGCTGTTGTAATCTGTTAAAAGAAAAAGAGCAAAACAAGAATTTAGAAAGTAAAACAGGCTGAGCATTGCTGGAGGGCACATCTGGCCAGATGTGTGCATGCTGCGGGCTCAGCAGTGAGAAGTGATGAGCTCCCTCAGCAGCTAAAAGGATAAGGGTGTTGAGGGACATCCAAAGCAGGGCTGAAGCTTTTAAGACGCCTGTGGGAATGGAGGAACCCAAGTAACAGTGACTCAGTTATAGTAACTCAGCTGTCTTTAAAGTGCTTGGAAAACACCTCCAGTAAAATGACTTCTTAAAAATAAATCTACTTCACTACTACCCTGCATAGACTGCATCTCCATCGAGTGCTCACACTCACCCCACTTCCTCAGCTCCCATTTCTGGCACGTGCTGCCACAGGTGGGGAGCTCAAGCTGCATACACTCACTGAGAGAGAGAACTACAGCCCCAGGAAGGTTAATCATCACCTTGTGCCCCTGCACCAGTCTGCAGAAGTCCTCAAACAGCTAAGGTGTCCCATAGGCAGGGAAGCCATGTCCTTGTTCCTCTCTGTACCTTATCCCAGTTTGCCCCACAGTCTCATGTGACCCATGGCACCACCTCTGCCCTTGGACCTTTACAAACCATGCTCTGAAAAACACATTTCTCCTTTCTATAAACTGCTTATTTGCAGATGACACAGCACTTGACATGATCTCACCATTCACTTGCTCCTTATTGTCAATAAAGTGAGGACACAGGATGCAAAGACCTGATCAAGACCTTCCCACTTGCCATGGCACAATGTATGGGGATGTTTCACCCATGCAGGAGCTGGTCCTGATGATCCCACAAAGTACAGCTATTGACAGCAAGTGGAATTTCCCATTTATATTTGGAAAGAGAGGCAGCTCGGCATGTGAACACCTGAAACCACAGTGAGCAGAGGAGCTGAGCTGTGACAGAGGGGCCTTTCACCTCCAGGTGGCTGCACACATCCACCTTGATGGGTGGTTGCTGATTTTGTCACACCTCAAGTGGCTGCTGGACCTCAGCAGAGCAGCCACAGAAACCACCCTTGCAGTGAGGTGACTTGGCCACCAGCTACAGCTGCTGATCCTGTGCTTTGCACCCGATGGTAGGCACGAGAGAAAGAGACGGCAACAAATTCAGCCAAGCAGCTTGGGAGCCAAAGCCACCATCCGTGTTTTCCTCCCATGCCTTTCCACAGGGGCCTTCTCCTCCCTCACAGCTCCCATTTGCAAGTACAGGCACTCCTGTCAGCAGGCAGATGCCACAGGCTGATGCCCCTGCCTCCTGCTGCCCTGGATCTTTCAGCTTACCAGCCCCCTGGTGCCCCTAACATGGCTTGAAAGGGCACCCTCCCAGTGCAGCTTTCCCCAGATGCAGCAGCTGGGATAGAAAAATATTTTTAGTGATTTTTTCCTTGGCTCTGAATAAGCCTTTCTTTTTCTTCCCTCCAGCACCATTCCCCCCGCCCCCCCCCCCCCAGAAGTTTGGGAACTACAAATGCAAATATTTATTCAGAAGAAAAACTATAATACTAAAAGCACATCCAACTGACATTAAGGGCAGCACAGCAGTACAGCTGGGTACAGTTAACATTGAGGGCTGAAAAAACCCTACACCTCAAACCCAGCTTCCCAACCACCAAAGATTAGAGAGTTGTTTTTAGAAGCAGTTGGGTTTGAAACTCTGAGGATTGCATTTCAGCCTTTGAATAGCTTCACTTCAATCACGGATTTAATCAGGTGAGCAGAGCTGGTTAACAGCCTGCTGCAGCATAAACATTGGCTCTTCCAGCAGCACGCGGCAGCGAGAACGGAGGCAAGCCTCTCTATTCAAGCTTTCCTTTTTCAAACCAGACATACCCAGTAGAAACCAGGGTGTGGTGGTTTATTTCGGATGAAGCTTCCCAGTCCCTGGCTTAGCCCAGGAGCAAATTTCTACCATGAGATGTTTTGAAATTATTTGGTCATAATGAGGGAAAAAAAAAATATGAGAAGATGCTTTTAGTGATCAACGGCCTTCATTAAAACACCTGAGAACACAACTTCATTGTTCTTCAATGGGATATATAGATTGTTTAGAGGAAAACCATCTGTATTTGACAGTGGAGTTGATCTATTCACAACTGAGTGGGTAAAATTGTGCTATGATCCAAATCTAGCTACAATTTACCCAGATCTTCTACAGGAAAGGGGAGAAGGCAAGGGAGGCAGAGAAAACAGGAGTGGGAAGGAAGGCTGCAAGCAATCACAAGTTTAAGAAAACACAGGGGTGGAAAAAAAGAGCTGCTTAACAAGGTACACCAAGCAGAACATGCTATGAACGTGTCCTCTCTCACACTAAACCTCGCCTCAGCTCACTGGTCAGTCACCTGATTCACACTCTGCATGGAGCCCTGGCTGCTCTCCATCCAGGGCAGATGCAGACAGCTCTACCTCCTCACTTGCCCAGCCTCAGCCTTTGCTTTTCTAAATGTCAACACATTGAACATCCCCTCTCCCTAGCTTTGCACTCTTCTCTGTTTAACCCTCACCCCAAGATCTCCTGCCCTCTTTTCTTGTTATGTGTTTGACTACGTTTGCTTTATGGGAGCAGTTTTGAGCCCAACTTTAGGTAAGTCACAAACCTTTAAGCAACCC